CGCACGCCCTGCCTCAGGGGAAGGATGGCTAACAAGGTGCGATACCACACATGACATGAGACTAGTGAATAATTCTCTCTATGTCTGCGCCTGTTTATCTTACCCGCTCCCATTTCACTACTCTCTCTCTCTCTCTCTCCTTTCTCTCTCTCCCTCTCAACCTTTCTTTCCCCACGACGGCACGTCGTCAAACCATTGCACTCTTGTCCTCTGAGCGTATACACGCGGCGAGCAAGTGGTACGTTTCGCTCATTACCGAGACCAAGCAAGCGTGGGTTAATCATGGCGAGAAAATGGAGAGCAAAGCTCTGTCGACGGGGCGCGCCGTGTATGGTCGCGAACTCGCGGGCCGCAGGTCGAGGTCGCCGAGGTTGCCGTTGGGGGCGGCGAGCGCTGCGTCGAGCACGTTATAGCCGGGTCGGCAACCTTCCACCCTTCGGTCATTCCACGCCGGTCCACCCCGCGGGCCGCGTGGCGCGTGAAGTGCGTGGCGTGGCGTGGCGGGGTATCACTTACAGTGTTCTTGCGCCCCTCGACGCTAGTCCATGCGTGGTTGGGCGGATCGCGCTGCGACACACGTCGTCGGCCGAACGTGTCAAGCAGTTCGCCACAGAGTCCGAGCACCCCCTCCACACACACCCCTCCTCTCCTCCCCCTGCCTTGCCTTACAAAGGGCGCCGTCTCAGCAGAGGGCGTGATCCTCCACCAAACCGCGGCCACGCGATTCCGTTTGAGAACCACACTCTACAAATAAAAGTGTCTGGCATACAAACACTTGAAAAGTGCGCGCCACATGTCACACGCAAAAGAAGTTTGCGACAAAAGGAGGGAATTGCGTGGGGTAATATACCCTACCTACGTGCAGTTGTGTACGTACCACAATAAGTGTGTGATATATTTGTCATAACACACATTTTTCGTGTGAGCCATGAATGCACTCCGAAGAGATGGAATATCACGCGCTATATGAAAACAAAAATCTCTTAGCATGCTCTGAAAACTCAACAGCAATCATGCCATGTGCCATGCACACTGATATATCAGCAATCAGAGTGTAAAATAATTGTCTACACACCAATCTCATAAATTTGATAGACAAAAATATACAGATACATAAGGCCTAGACTCATATCATGGCATCAGGAAGTAGTTGCTGTCGAGACAGCTCAGAGCGGGAGCGATCGCTTCATTTGAAACAACCGTTAGTTCCTCCTGAAACGCGTTTACCACAGAAACTGCGGACTGCAAATGTAAAGCGTTCATCCCCGACCGCTTGGTGTGATGCGGCCTTTAGCGACTAGCGCGGAGCGAGGGGCGACGGGCCACAACCGCCCACGCCGAGCGGAAAGCGCGCGCAGCGCATTGAGCGGGTCAGTCCGTCACCGCGAGACACTCAGCGCAGCTCAGAGCAGGCCTGTCCGCCCTGGTGGTGACGGACAGGTTCGCAGAACATTCTGGCATCGGAGCTAACCTGACGTTCTTGTCTAAACCACGAGAGGGCGCGCCCTTCTCTCACGTATCTGAACGGCGGCGTCCACGAGGAGCGGAAGCCAATCGCGAGGTAATAACTCGATAGATGGAACCGATGTAACCTTACCCGAAACCGCGGACAAACCCGAACTGCAAAAAGAGTCGCAAGACCAAAGGAACGCCCGGGAACGCCATAAGGGTGGTACGTCGTGTAATGCCACAGCTTGGGAACAACCCCCCCCCCTCCCTCCTCGCATATCTTTCTCGCTTAGGCGGGTAGATTGATGGTCGGCAGATTGCTGAGTTGTTGTCTGAGTTCATCCCACTCCGGAAGGATAGGGAGCGAGGGAGACGGAGTGGCGAGAGTGATGCATCACATGGGACAGCACCTTAGCGCCCGACGACAACAAGTTGTTGGACAAGCGTTGAGCACAGCCAGTGATAGATGGTGTATGAGGAATTCATCAGCATCGTGAAATTGCAGTGCCAAAACGTCCGACGCTACCTCCTTTCACTCTCACTCCACTCCCCACCCCGTTCTTTTTCTTTTCTTCGCGGAGCGGTTTTCTTCCCCGTGCCCCCCCCCCACCC